TATTGTCATAGGTGGTAAGTTTGCTTGTTTATAGATATATTTTGATCAAACTTGGCAAATTTATTAATTTTTACTAAGCTATCAATATTTTACCAAAAAAACACACTTTATTAGTTTCCTTGTATCATCAAACCTAGGTACTCGTTAAACATCTCGCCACTCATCCTTCACTCATCTTCATTCATACTTGGCTTAAAATACCTACTTTTTATGGTCGCCATTTAATAAGAAAGTATTTAAGTATAAAGAAACCTAATGTGATTTAAATAGATTTAATTGAAAATCTATTCAGACAAATGGACATTCGCTTAGTCGGCAGGTTTGCTGCGGCGTGGGTATTTTAATATAAAATTAGCTCAGATATCACAGGTTTATTTCTCAGAATAAGAATAAGCATCAAATAAAGCCTAATGCATGTGAGGGTAATAGAATACGGTTATCTCAAGAAGTGGCTTTATAGCTAGTATGGCGATTTCATAAAGCGCACGTTTTCTGCAGGTGAAAAGTAGATAAGTACTTGATCAATCTGAGTTATACAGGAACAGTTTATTCACAAATTATAGTGTTCAAAAATGTATGTAACTTTTAAAAAAAGAATTCATATTAAATGTATCCAATAGCATGACAAATTTGACTAAACAAACTTGAAAACAACACGAGGAAAATATAAAAAAAAAAAAAAAAAAAAAAAAAAAAAAAACACTGTTAATTTGACTTCGTCGAACAATAAAGCAGTTAATAAGGAAGTTCAGTGAATTATATGAATTATTATGGAAAAGCATTCCACAAAAGCATTATCAAAAAAATACATAGGCTTTCTCACATAAAAGGATAACTAGCTTTTACGGTTATTTTGTCTAAGTACTAAGTAGTATTTATTAAAGATAAAAACGGTAAATTTATGTTTTTAAAAACTGAAATTAAACTCAAATGAAAGAACGGAAGTTTACAATAATTGTATTACTAGGTTATTATTTTCTTTTTTGTAACTAGTGCAGTTGAGACGGATCACTAAAACATTGTAATTACTTCTGATGGCAGGAGAGAGAAAAAGGTGGAACAATATTAGATTCGTTACTTGATTGAAAAAAAAACTCTTTTTCCATTAAAGTGATAAATTAAAAAGGAAATATATCTTGCCACTTCACTAATGACTTCTAACAATTTTGATGAATTTGTATTTTGACTTATATTTTTTATAAGAACGGCTATGGGTAAAAAGCATACTCTTCTATGGATATTTGTCATACTAGGTTGTAAACTATAAACCTGCATGATACTTATAAAATATGGAACTGGCATTATTGTAACTGGTATTATTGTAGTATATAAAAAGCATTATTGTGTATCAATTTGTTAAGCTTTAAATAAAAATAAAAATATAAACATGTTAAAAATTGTTGATGAAATAAAGATTATAAAATTCAATCTTAGAGAATACTGTACATCCAAACACTCACGTATAAACTATGAAAATAAAGCGACCTACTTTACCACTTACATCAAAGAACCAATATTTGCATTCACTACTGAATTTTAGCTTAAATCAACGTGGCCAATATGGACACAATATCATACGTATATTTTTACCCGTAGCCGCCTGCAGACAATTCGTTACACAGTTTTAAATTTTACATGTTTATTTTTCATCAAACAACAAATAATAAAAAGTGTAGTAACTGTTCACTTTACTAATTTATACATAAACTTTCCACCAATGTTTTCAAAGGTTACACACATTTATAACAGTTATATTTACGTTAAACCTTATTTGTTCAATTTAAACCAAGGTTAAAATGGACCAAAACTATCCGAAACCCATTATTTCACCCCTTGTGCCATGGTTTGTTTAGATGCAATAGTTCAGTGACGTACACTGTACAATGTACATGTTCGTCTCTGTAACAGCAGACTATTGTATCATCAACAATGGAGTTTGTCAAACGACAATGTGTAAGGCATTGTCACTACTCATCAACTGACTGACTAGTGTATAATACAGGGGTTTCAAAATAGGTCTGCATTATTAAGGGGATATGGCAGTGAAATAATAATTTTTTTTTTCAAAAAAGTGATTTTTTATATTTGTCCATTTTTTATTATTTATGATGCTAAAAATAAAAAAAATCGGTCAAAAAAAATTGTGCTTAGGCTAGCCCATATTAAAAAAAATACGGAAAATATTTTTCAAAAATCCGGTCATTGACTTATTTTAGTAATAATAATAATTATTATCAATATTATTAATATTAATAATATGTATTTAAGTAATAATTGCATAATAAATAATAACGAGAGGTCGTCCAGTGGTCGAAACTCGACCAAAAATATGTAATGTACTCACTTAACTATTTTCACCCCACACTGTAAATAAAACATGTGATTGGAATGTCTTCCATTTGTTTTGATTTTCTGTTTATATTGTGTTGTTATTTTGTCATCACCATAGCAACCAATAAAACCCATGTTAATTTTTTAAAATTTCAAATTCATTTTTTGTGCTTATTTTTGAGCCTATTTTAATTTATAAAGGGATTCTGCACACCTACAGGAAAATAGCTTTCTAACGGTATGCGTAGATTTTCCCTACGATACACACGAGCTGAGAAAAAAGGTTTTAAAGAAACATGCTTGCCTATTAATATATAGATAGATAGATAAAATGCTTGCATAAACAAAAAATTGATCCATAACTCAACAATAAGTATCACCATGGTTACACTGCCAAGTGTAACTTTTAGTGTGCGATTCCCGCTTTATCAGTTTTTTTAGCGAATTTCCCATATAGGGAATAAGCTATTACCGTAGTACTCATGGTAAGACCTGGACCAAGGCCACACTAAAAAAACAGGCCGTAATGCTCGTCAAGCATGACGTCACGATAGAAGACGGCTATGACGTATAAGTATTTACTTATTTATTTTCCACTGAAAGATTAAAACAAGCAGCTGATCACAAACGGCAAAATTACGTCATTGCCGTCTTCTATCTTGACGTCATTCTTGACGAGCATTACGGCCTGTTTTTTTAGTGGGGCCTTGCCTGGACGCGGGACCGATTTTTTTCGTTTTGAGGTCCCTAGAGGCCAAAAACACCATTCGTTCAAATTCATATATATATATATATATTGTTTTCTTGCATGTTTAGGGCTACTAATATAATAAAAACCAAAAACATATTTAACAAAGTACCCTTTTAGTAATTATTTAATTTTTCATGACTAATATATACGTACTAATATATAAAATAAAATAATTACTAAAAGGTTAATTTGTTAAATATGTTTTTGGTTTTTAATATATATATATATATATATATATATATATATATGTGTGTGTGTGTGTGTGTGTGTGTGTGTGTGTGTGTGTGTCCGTTAGCGCGATAACTCGAGCAAAAATTATCCGATTTTGATGAAATTTGGTACAAATGTGTAAACCTACATTTATTCGAACGAGTTCGCGATCCAGCATAATCTGACCATGGGAACAGGGGTTTATGGGGGGTTTTATGGGGTAAAAATGGGGTTTTCCCATTTTTGACCCTAAAAACATCACATTTTAGAATTTCTTTCCCAACCATTTTGTATAGCTTAAAAAAGAATTAATTTAGTATATTGAAGCATTGTTGTATGCCTAACGGTCACGGAGAAAATTCAAAAAAATGCAAATTTAAAATTCCCATGTTATTCTTATGGAGAAAATGAAAACTGTTGTAGTTGACTTGTTTATGGATATATGTTGATCAAATTTGGCAAACTTATTTATTTCATCCTATACTATTGACGTTTGGTCATAAAACACTGTTTACCTTCCCCGTAGCAGCAAACCTAAGTACTCGTTATATCCTATCTAATGTTATTTAAATTGGGAATAAATATGTCTTATTTATGGAAGTATTTTAGTAAATATGTAATCAGACAAGTTGAAATTAGCTTAGTCTGCAGGTTTGCTGCGGCAGGGGTATTTTTACGTTTTTAACTACTAAATTTGATATATCTTCAAAACGGTTTATGATACATGATTCAAATTTTTACCAAGTGTTTAGAATGTTATCTATATAATTAGGTAGAATTGTAAATGTATGTCTATACAAACAAACGTATTTTATTTCCTTGAACTAAACCGCTTTTAATGTTTTGATATAGTTTTGTTTATGTATGTAATGTCTTGTTACTTGCTTAAATATGACTTTTATCAATTTACGGAAAGCTAATACGGATCACGAACTTTTGAGAAAACTGTAAGCCGCACACGTATCAACCACATACTTAAATGAAAGGTCTTGATGGGAACATCTAGGAAGAATAAAATTTTTCTATAAACCCTCTCCTATATGAGTCTCTATTATGGGTCTGCATTTCATCACATTAAAAACATTGAAGATGCATCAGCTGTGGTTGTTTTGTTTTGCAGATTTTTTTTGTTTATAGTTTGATTAGATACTGTTTCCTTGGCTACTACAAAGCATGTGTTTTCTAAGATTTAGTTTTTCTTATTGTTTAACAATGCTTTCCCCTCAACGTATGTATTCTAGTTATGACAAAAAGGATAATTTATGTATTTTTTCTGTTAGCAACGGTCTTCTCCTTCTGTTTGAAATATTTCTTCTTTAAACTAAAGCCATATTCTTTTTATTTATAGCTTCTTTTTTTAAATTTGTTTAATGTAATTCTTATGGGGAAAATGCGACCTTTGAGAGCGTCTCGCACACTTAAGGGTAATAATTTTGTAAATTCTAAAACCTTATTGCGAAATTAAACATTGAGACGAATTATTTGACACCTCAAACGTTAAAATTGATCCACCAATAAGGGAGGTGTTGTGTTCAACAAACAACAACAAACAACAAACGAATTTTATATCTATATAGATATTTCACCTTTTTAAACTAAATTGATCTTAAGCATGTCGAATGTCGGTGATACATTTTCCATTAATTATTTTACCAAGCCTAGGAAGTGATGTGGAATAAGTACACTGGTTGTATGTTTTTAATTTATTTTTTTAGCTTACATAATTTATTTACAACAAAATGACATAAAACAGTTTTAATAGTTAAAACATGAACAATAACAACTATGCGAACGGAAGAGGCAAATATGTACACTATAATGTATTAAATTATAAAATATTTATATTTGAACAGAGTCTGTACATCACATCAGGAGATGTTACAAGAAAACTAATTATTTTAATAATCTAAACTCTAAAAATTAGAACTTTCTTGATTTAAAATATATAAAACAGTCATAAAATCTACGTACACTTAAAGAATTTTGTTAATAGATTTTAACTATAAATTAAAACATCCGTAATACAATAAATATATACTTGTTTAGGTTATCCTTAATAAACTAAACTTTAAGACAATTAAATTTAATTACATTGAATCAATTGAAGTACGAATATAATATCTTTCTTCACCATAATTTAAACAGATCTAGTTAAATAAAACTGAATGGATTTTTCAAAAGTTGTTATTTCAAAAACCACTTACTACACTTAAATAGTATGAAATCAATATATCCTTGTTTTACTGGACTTATTTTTGGAAAGTGATCGTGACATTTCAGTGGGTGTAAAGCTCTCAATGCTGTTCTTGGGCTTAAGATTGGCGATTGAATGTTGAGTCGTCTCAAATATAAACTAATGTATTTTGTTTTCAATAGTGAATCATACACCTTTTTTTATTTTTTTTTAAACGTAATAAACGAAAACATTGAAGAAACGTGCTTATTTTTGTTGATCAACTATACTACATGAAGCTCAATGTCTATAAAATATGCTATACAATTAAATAAAAATGTAAAGGTAGCAAGATTATCGATTAATAATTTTTTAATAATATTACCAGAGTTATCAGAGAAAATTCAACTTACATATTTTTGGTATTTGCTTTTTATCTATGGCTATATTTAATTATTTGACATGATTAAAAAGAACGTGGTGATTTGATGTGCAGAATAAAAATTTCTTCACTTTGGTAAAACATATTAAAACGGCCAATATGAAATTATTTTTGCATGACAGAACCTTGATTTTAATAAGTTGTGTACTGTATTCGTTGTAAATATAGTTTAATAAAAAGAATCTAAATATATTAGCGAAAAACAAACATTCCAATAATCAATGCACTATTTACAATATACAAAGCGACATTTCTTGATACATCTAAAGCGGTATATACATTTATATACTAAGTACATAACATATTAATCTAATGTTTATTTACAGTTAGGTTAACACTAATACCTGTAGATAGTTTTATTAGACTAATTTACCTATTTAATCTAGGAAACCATGCTCATTTAATGTAATCCATTTACTCACATTTAAGTTTTGAAAATATTTCAAGTTAACAAATAAATAAAATAAAGAACAAATATAAAAGTTAAATATAAATAAAGAATTTTACAGCAAAACAAGCTTTTTTTCTTCACTTTATTATTCGTTTCTGATTGAACATTTTTTCTCCATTAGCATAGTACTTAATCGACGATACTTAAAAAACTAGATAATTTCGATTCTCTGCTCCAATGGAACAAACAGTTTTGTGAGCACAGATCGTTTTGTAAACATTCAGCAACACCACAACAAGTTAAAAAGTGTTTAAAGTAGCGAGTTAGGAGTATATACAGACAGTTCATTTGCTGAGTGACAAAACCACTAATTAATTCACTCTAGTTTATGGAATACATTTCTAGCCAGCGACGTATCACAATGGTTTGATTATTCTCCTTAAAACATTTTGCCAGAAAATAATTTTAAGTAGTTGCACATAGTTGATTATATTGTTAGCTGAAATAGTATTTATCGCTTTCGGGTGTAGATTTTCATGTTTAAAAGAGAAATATTATAATTTGCGTTACTTAGTATTAAGAAATTTCCAGGATCGCCCAAGTGGTAGGTCAAAGATGCAAACGTTTCATAGAAATAGAAAATTAAAACTGTTATTTAATGGGATGTTAATTTATGGAATTTTTGTGAATGCATATTATTTGCAAGACTCCAGCTCTAATATGTCGATATTAAACCAAGCCAATTTATCAAGATTAGGAAATAGAAAATTACAAAATCAAATATCCAAATTTTTTGGTCAATCTCAAACTATAGCCGATGTAAAAACAAAGGGATAGCAGCTTTATATTATTAATGTTCCCGATATCCTAAATAATTGCGGTAACATCAACATTTGATATATGTACTAATATGTAACCTTTAGTTAATGAGTTAAAATTAAATAAATGAAATGATCTTTTCCCTAACAATATATTTTAAATCCCCTGAACTACTTTTATGACCTTACCTACGTTTGTAGGAAATATTATGAATTACAGATTAAAATTAGGAATCTTGTTGTGTAATTCCCCTTGCAGCTTTTCCTCACGATATTCACATACTCTGAATTCCCTCAGTTTTGTCACTCACACATCAAGCAACCCCTCGCTCTATAGTCCGCCGTGGCTACCACACACTACCCTAGTATATACAGTATCCTCTAGCACTGGTCCTGCTATGTGTTGAGCGCATTGGGCGAGTTGAAGCGCACGGACGAGTTGTGATGGCTGGCGTAGTACGAGGTGAACGTGTGAGATCTTTGGTGCCTTGTTGCTAAGCAGGGACACAGTGTCAGCACCAGGGTACGACGGTACTTGTCGCTCATCACGCAGTACAGCAGGAAGTTGCTGGAGGCGTTGACGGTTGTCAGGAAGTTGAAGATGTTTCCCAGACCCAGCATGATCGCTCCAGCAGGCCTGTAACAAATTTTAATGGTCGTACAAGTGTGGCTTTGAATGCAAAGTTTGCCTTTTGATGAACTCTTATCACACTATCTCCTATACTTTCTTCCAGAGTAACTCCTTCTAGAGTCACTAACCCCTTCCAGAGCACCTCTTTCCAGAGTACCTCTTTCCAGAGTACCTCTTTCCAGAGTACCTCTTTCCAGAGTACCTCTTTCCAGAGTACCTCTTTCCAGAGTACCTCTTTCCAGAGTACCTCTTTCCAGAGTACCTCTTTCCAGAGTACCTCTTTCCAGAGTACCTCTTTCCAGAGTACCTCTTTCCAGAGTTCCTCTTTCCAGGGTACCTCCTTCCAGAGCACCTCTTTTCAGAGTACCTCCTTCCAGAGTACCTCAATCCAGAGTACCTCCTTCCAGAGCACTTCTTTTCAGAGTACCTCCTTTTAGAGTACCCTCCTCCTAATAAAAACTGCTACTTTGTTTTTACTTAGTTCTTGAATTTCAGAAACCATATAATATAAACAATATGCATTTTTGGAAGACCAAAACAGAGAACCAAACCAAGTCTTCAGTGCAAAGTATACAGGGTGACAAAAAAGTCTGGAAACGGTTTATTATCTTTTTAACTAAATCAGTTAGAAAATTCAAACATTTCACATAAACTTAGATGTATGAAAACTACTTTTTCCAAGCATTGTAATTTTTTTTACCTCTACCAGGGGACGACCCATGAGGAGTAGGTACATAATCTTTAATGTAAGCATAGGTTGATATGCACATCATTTTAAAGGTCTGGTCAAGTGGAGCTCATTGCCGGAAACCGCGTCCAAAAAGTTTCATCCGTTACAAAATGGCAGCTGTCCAAAGTTCTTGTGAAATATACCTGCACAGGCCTTAGTATGGGCAAATACTCGTATTAAACATTAGCTTGAGAGCTTAAACTGTATTTTAAAGTCAACTAGCTCATAGACTAATAGTATTCAATCGTCAAAACAAATTTAACTGGGTTTCAGATTTCCCTGCTAATGTTACTATGAGTATTTACCAATACTAAGGTCTCTGCAGGTATATTCCGCAAGATCTTTGAACTGCCGCCATTTTGTAACGGATGAACCTTTTTTGACACGGTTTCTGGTAATGAACTCCACTTAACCAGACCTTTAAAATGATGTGCATATCAACCTATGCTTACCTTAAAGATTATGTACCTACTCCTCGTGGGCCGTCCCCTGGTGAAGGTCAAAAAATGGCAATGATTGCAAAAAGTAGTTTTCATGCATATAAGTTGATGTGAAAGATTTGAATTTTATAACGAATTTAGTTAAAAAGATATTAAACCGTTTCCAGACTTTTTTGTCACCCTGTATATGACATTGGGTTATGTCATTTGGATATGTATGTATGACATTGTAAAATGTTCATGACCAAGTTCATTAAAATTTCAATTAAAAGTTCTAATAATGAATTTTGTGGACTGTCTTATAGGGGCGAATTGAGTTCTCTAATCTAACTTATCGTCGGTTCTTGATGATTTTAGTTTATGTCAGCAGGCTACTCCTGTCTTGCTTGGTCTATAACTAATACTAACAACATTTCCATGTTACTCACGTGCTCTTATCGGGGCTGTAAAAGATGTAGACGACGAGCATGATGGCCGCTGGCGTCTGGCACACGATGAACAAGATGACGACAGCGATCAGTGTCGTGGTGATCTTGTTCTCCTGGCGCTGACGACTGCTGTTAGCGCAGTCTCTAGGCTCTATTTGCTGAAACATCACAAACTGTGAATTGCATGACAAAGTGGTCTTCCTTGCACTGATTATGGTTCAGAAAGTTGCTAATTGCTGCATTTACTTACTTTTTCCGCACGCTTTTATTTTTACCGCACTCCAGTATTACAACTAATCAACACAAAACAGCGTGCTTTTACTATGCACGTACTCGTACGTGTACGCTTGGAAAAAGGTTGGCACACTTAAATATACTACCACTACGATCAGCTGGTGCAGTTTGTTTCCCCTTCCCTTCAACGCTTAGATTTAACCTAACCTAAAACATGTTGTGTACTGTTTGAAAGACTATTTTATTTATATAAGTTATAGTGACCGTAGGAAAAGTGTAATGTGTTACGCGAGTGCAAAGCGCCTTTGCTGCACTCGGAAAAATTTCCACACTCGCCTGCGGCTTGTGCGTGAACATTTCTCACGTGTGCAGCAAATTGCCACTTCGCACATTAGTTACACAAATAACTATTTTATTTGGTTAGGTACAGTTAAATTTACTTTGCTTCATTGACTCCAATAGCTTACTGTAGTTCTTTAATCTATATGGAAGATCTGAATTCTGATTTAGATTTCCCCTGTTTGGTTTCAGTTGCACCCCCTGATAGCATCCAAATGAATTTATTTCGCTAAATAATTGGTTGGAAGATTCTTTTCGTTGCTGTACCAGAGGACAAGGAGCAGTCTGAGTAAACACCGTTACTTTTGAACAAAATATAAATCAACAAAATATAAATGCTCAACATGAAATCATCCTTTATATAAAAAGTCTTCAGCTAAGGATGATTAAGGTGGTTTGTTTAATGTTTGGTAATTTGTATACAATCATCACGTAAAATAAAATCATCATTTGTATAAAATTATCATGTCACGTAATTATATTGGATTTGCTAAAAAAACTCCATTGTATTTAGAAAATTAGAAAATATATAGCCAATCACAATACATGAAGTTTTTTTGTTAATGTTGAATGTATGCTATTTAAGAAATTGTTGAGGATATTTTTCTTCTAGATTAGAAAAAAATAATAGGTACTTACGTATTATACGGAGGCCGCTCTTATACAACGCGCTGTGGCGGTTAGGTTTGGTCATCATGAAGCTTTTATGACTTGTCTGGTTCGATTCATAACGAAACTAGGAAAGTCCTACAAACATATTTATAATAGACCAACCTAACCTAACCACCGCAGCGCGCTGTAAAATAAGTGGCCTCCGTATAATACGTAAGTACCAAATAATAATATGGGTTTAAGTTATTTTTTATAACTTTGTATTTGAATAATTGCATACTTACTGTTTGAATCAGTGAAAATCCCTTAAACAACATTTTGCATTTTGACTAGCAAACTTAGGCAATTCCAGTTTTAATAATGATGAGTATTTAGGGTTATATACATATTTCCATATTTATAATTAGTTCATTATTGAGAGATACTAAAAACAGATTTTTTGTGAGGACGAAATGGCTCATCTAAGGTCAGTATCGAGTCCAAAATTAAACTTTGATGTTAATCTTATTGATTAAAAGTGGTAATTATAGCGATTTATAGAGAATAATACACACAACTACAATTGCCCTTAGTATACCATACGTTTAAGACTAAATGGTTTTTATATCTTATTAGAAAATCGTTTATGTGCGTGTCAATTGAAACTAATCGTGTTTACCATAAAAATTCAAACCATTTGGAATTATTAATTGGGAACTGTGTTAACCAAACGACCTGATGAAATAACCACTTTGTAAAGTTAAACTCGGATATGGAGAGCCTTGCCCGTTATTAAAACAGACCTACTCCGGCTTTAATAACAACACCCTACATTCCAGGAGTTTTCAACCCAGAACCAATAAAATGTTAACTTGCTTATAAATTTAGCCTTTGTATCAATTTGAAATTCCAATTTTGTTATCAGTTCGTTCTGTTTAACTTAATAAATAGGTTGATTGGAATAAAATATGGTTTAATAGCCTATTCAATATTACAAATGGTTGGTTAATAACGTACCTTGTAGAAAAATATATCCTCTTCCCATTGTAATATTTGAAGCTTGTTCTAATTTGTGTTATATTTTGGGGATGTTTTAGAGCACTCTGAAATGTTTCTTATATATTTCAGAATAGTTTTAAATTTATACATCAATACTTGCATATATAACTAGAAGTTTTTTTTCTTTGATAATATTTTTGTTTTACCTTGTCAAATACTTTTCAAATAGGCAAAACATAAAACAGAAAATAACAAAAACAAAATACCTTTTGCAAGACCGGACTAAGCTAACATTTCCGATATCGATGAATTTATAAAAGTATGTTAAATTTATTTTTTATGCAACTGATGGATTACTTTTTACTTGGGAACATTTAGGTTCATTAAAGAAAACCTAGAGGTCTAATTTTTTGGGCTTTTCTACACTGAAATAGATATCTGGTTGACTAACATTAGCCAATCGTTGATCAAATAGGCAAAATAAAAGTTCAAAAAACAATATGACTGTAACATGCCTTTTAATACCATTATTATTTTTATTTATTTATTTTTTATTTATTTATTTTTTTTTTTTTAAAGAGGTTGGCGGCCTCTTTTAACCTTGCATTTGCCCGTCCACATAGACTAAGCGCCCGTGCGTGGATCGTTAACAGCAAAGCAAGGAGTGAGCCGGTACAGTACAAAGGTGAACTGTACTGATAAAATGTTATCGGCAGTGACCAGGATCCGAACCCATGACATCGCTGCCTTGGGCCCGAAGTCCGCGACGCTACCGACTGAGCCACCGACTCACTAAAGCCTATATAAGCCTACAATAGCTTTTGCTATAATATAGTTGTCGGATTGAAATAAAATATTGTATATTTTGCTGTCCTTGCAGTAGGCTATTTTAGAATGTTTAAGTAAATCTTCGTCGGAAATCAGTAGTTGATACCACTTAGTCAATAGCTTTATATAAATAAGTTTATTTTATCCTAAATCTAGCTATGGTTTAAAAATAAAAATAGAGATTTCTGATCTAAATAGTCTTGATACTAATCCAACTTAAGATTTGTAGCATACTAAATGCAGTTTATCTTTTAATTTAAAAATTATATACCAAATTAAAAAAAAAAAAAAAAAAAAAAAAACACTTAATGTGTTTGATGTTCTTGGATTTTTGTGTCACACTTCAGATAATCAAGTTAAAAGTTTTTACTATTTATATTGGAGTCAAACTTTTTTTATTGTATAAAATATGAAATTGTATGAGTCGAATCTAAAATACCCCTGCCACAGCAAACCTGCAGACTGAGCGAATTTCCATTTGCCTGATTTGGTTCTCACTTATCTAATTTTGAACATTTTTATCTCTAACTTTAATGAGCATAAACATGGTTTGAACCGTCAGGCTCTTCACTACGTGCTGAAAAGAATAGCGTTCCCTATTGGCAGACATGACTTGGGTATCTAGAAGTGATGGATATTCAAGCGATGCAGTTGGTAACTGGCTTTTCAGGAGAGAAGTATTTTTTTGGAGTGATTTGGCCAGCTGGTAAGTCTTCAGCTTTTTATGCCTTACTTGATAAAAAGAAAATTAGATTTGTGAGAAATAGGAATGGACAATAAACGCAGTCGAGTGATTGGGCTATTTGCTAGTGTCAGAAGCGAGCCCGTCCACACCTTGTAGCCGTGATGACTCTTACAATCCCTAAACACACATTATAACTACAAACTTATCCAAGTACCTGAGTGAGTCCGCTCCGCTGTCTCTTGCTGCGATGGACAGCTTCTATCAGGAAAGTGTTGAAAATAGCGATAATGACCAGAGGTACGAAGACGAACATGGCGGCCCAGAACCAGTAGAGGTAGTTCTTGTACGTCTGGTCCATGGCGAGCTCTGTCATCTTCTTACACACCATCCCGTCTTTTACCTGCCAGACAATATTCATTGCGATGAGAAAGTGATTGATTAGTAAGACAGACATATTTTTATAATATTACATTGTAAAACCAAAATAGTATTTAATATCTAACCTTGTGAAGGATTAGTTTTTCTCTTTCAAAAACGCTCACTCTTATGTGCTAAGTGAAAGAGAATTACTAAAGAAATTATAATTACTATAAGTAACTTCTGAAATTCTGCCTCAATAAATAGGAATATCAATGGGAACATGTAGCTCTTTCTATCGTACGTAAGTTCAGGAAGTGAATATTGGCCTAAGGAATCCAACACTCTGTTCTGACGCTGCTTACGAGTTATTATACCTGTTAACTAGTTATCTAACGTTTACCATAATCCAAGATGTAATTTTGGAAAGAGAAAAGAGTTCGGGATATGTAAAAGGAAACGATGGCTCAGAATTTTAATATAGAATGTTTCAAGGATACTCATCTTCAAACATACATATTTATAAAAATATGACCTGACGTTAGCGTGTTAAAATTAATAGAGCAATCCTTCTTCTATTGATGACGAGGCGTCCAACACATTACCATTTTTCTATCATTATGCATTGTTTTTCTAAAGCATGGTAGATTTAGCTAATATTGTTTATTATGAACGGTTTAGACTTAAAAATTTAAATGCGATATGTAATTTACCTCAATGCTCCATTCGAAGGGTGTTGTACAAGTTGAGAGTAAACATAATATGTATATGACAATGATGACTCGTCGAGCCCGCGCCTCAGTACAGAACACCCGCCCTCTCAGGGGGTGGCATACGGCGATGTAGCGCTCAAATGTGAAGGCGGCTGTCAACCAGACAGAGATGCCCACTGTAACACACATTAATCAAGGTAAACCTTGTGCTCAAATCACTACAAGATAATACACAGTAAAACTCACTCGTCAATACGCGAAAGACAAAGTAACTGTAAAAATGTTCAAATTTTTTTTTAGATGTGGTGTTTTTTTTATCCCACCTTCCCATCCTAGGACATAGCTTCTAGCCAGGAACCGTTTTATGCATTACTTCACGTAGGACTAGGTGGTTTTGGTGCTATCACTTAGTTAAAATACATTGCTGATTGAATAGATTTGATCCCAAGACCTCGGGGACTGATGTCCGTGCTCTACCACTAAACTTGCTCATTTCCCCTCCAAAAAGGGGTATGCCTGAAGGAAAAGGGGGCAATTAAACAGCAAATTCCTCACACTTAAGAGCCTTAGCTTGATCGTGACCGGAGGAATATTACTAAAGCTTAAGCTGCGATTTCAAACCACAAGACGTGACTTCGTCTCATAGCTAAGAGACATTTGTAATTGATGTAATTAGAAAAGAAGCTTTCATGGTGAAATTACATAGCTTTAACTTTTTCATCATACATGCAAGGAAATTCGTAGGTCTATTAGGGAGATAGTTTAGCTCTCATATTGAAAAAAGCGGTTATCCTCTAGACATACAGATACTTTCTAGAAGCCAGTTCAAGAGTATTTACAATTCAAAATATTATTGTCATTCATAAGTAGGGTTCCCCTTCAATAGTGCTCTTCGTTCAATAAGACGAATTAAAAAAGATTCTCAATTAATCGTGAAAATTATCCTTGACTGACCAGCTCCAGTATTAGTGAGGGTTTTCTCGTCTGAATGGTAATCAAATAGTGGTAAAAGAATAAATGAAGAATATTTTTGTGTCATATATGCATCTTTTAGTCTCTGTAAATATTTTGCATTATATGTTTTTAAGCAAGATAAACTACTATCGGGGATTGTTATTTATCATAACCAATAACAGTTAAAAAGGAAAACGTGGATTTACACTTGCGCTGTATTTAATCGGTTAAGTCTATACAAATTAAGTACATTAAGTAGATTTAAGTAGATAAGTGAACATTATAAGTAGATATCAAGTAGATTAGAAAGTTTTGTTTGTGAATAGCTTTTCATTTATCTCCGAAGTATAAATATATCTGAACTGGATGCCGACTACGTCAGATCGCATATGACAACCGGTACCATCACCGTGTTTGCAACAGACCTATTTTATTTAATTTTTGTATTTTCGTGAATTGTAAATAATTGTAGTCCGTGTTATGTGTTTCTACTGTGACGACGCTACTTCATCTGCATCTTCTATGTCTGATGAAGGCACTATTAGTCCGTAACGACCGTAACGGAAGGAACCGTACAAGGAATTGAGCTGTGGACAAATATAAAACCTATTTCAAGTTCTATCACAGCTTAGGGGATAGATTTAAATTTATTTTAGTCAAGCGTTAATAGTACAATGAAACAGCAAAACAGTTATATGAATAAGGGAAATGCACAAACATTGTCTAAAATGTAAATGTGACAAGATAAAGATCAGCTGAGTGTAAGACTCAAAGGCTTTAGACTTGGTCCTCATGTTTCTCACAGGCAGTGAACATCTGTTTGTAATGCTTGGCTGAACACATCCAAGTCAATACATCTGGAACTTTGTCACGGAAACTAACTATGTTGCAATTCCTTGACTCCACATATGTATGATAATTTGTATGTTTAATCTAAGATATAAACTTTTGATATATACAAACTTTATGCATGAAATATATTTACCTTTTGAGGATTGCATATATCTAGAAATGTTTTTGAAGAAAACTAAGGTAAGTTAACACTAAGTTTGTTAAAACCAGGACTCATACAAGTTTACCTACGTAGCAACATGTTGTGTTCGTGGGTTGAATTGGACTGAAATAAATACGATAGTTTTACATGTTTAAATCGGCTACAAACAGGTGGTTAAGGTTTTACTTTTGGAGGTAGACTGTGCTGTTGTAGGGACGGTCGGACATGGACGGTGGTGTGATGTAGGTGGAGAGGGGATCAGGTGATGTTTGTAGCCAATGAGATTTATTGAAAATCATACGATCACAGTGGCGTGATGTACAAGGAAATCATATCTACAACGGATATTAATATTCTTAAGATATATTACACAATATCTTTTTAATACTGCACTGTTATTTTGGAATTAACACGTAATTTCTAACTGCGTAAAAAAAATTATGTAGCCTCCAGATTGCTGTTCATGCTTTAAAATGGTTTAAATACCAACATAAAGTAATCCTTGGTTGCTGTAGTGGAAACTAGTTTTGGTTCATGGACCATCTTCATCCAACCAAACCTTTTTGACGACCTTCAAATAAATTGATTGATGCTGAAGATGGAGCGAAACTAGTTGCCACAACAGCAACCAACCATTACTTTATGCAGATTACAGCCATTTTAATTTAAAAAACGTAGTATGATAAATGCCCTTTACATTATTATTGAAAATATTGTAAATCTTTATAAAATTTTGAAATTTTGAATCAAGTTACTTCTTTTATTTTGTATACATATTAGGTTTTGTGTATGCAGAGTATATTGTTTAGTACGAATATTGTAGCACTGTACTCTTATGGTTCGAGTAGCTCTTATTTTGTGCATAAAAGTGTTTTATGTTACATTAATTAAAAACCTTACCCATACGGGCAAATACAAGATAAGATTAAGTAGGCCTATATATGGTAATAAATTTGATACATCATTATTTGTGAATACAAATTTTACTATGTATATTGTATGATTTAAAATAGCTTAGAAATGAATGAGTAACAATTTATGTTGAATTTGGCCAACTCTTCCTAATAATAATCTTATCAAAGTTTTACGTATTAATTTTAGTATTTATATAATGTACATTTAAGCTACACACTATGTTAATTACCTCCAAGATGCTACAGTTACAGGTAATTTATCAAAGGAAAACGGCACGAACACATATGTAATGGGAAATTAAATTCAATTACAACTGTAATCAACCTAATTGGTCTGCTTGTGATGATTCAGGATGCATCTAATTAATCTCTTCTGTCAAATTGGCTTTTGAAGAAGGTGGATGAATTAATTCAAACAACAACGTTTCGCATAGTCAATTACAAAACACATTGAATTAATGAAAGAGAATATGAATTAAAAAAAGATCACAGCTTTTAGTTACAATTATTACAGCCATATTATTTGATTTTAATGATAATCGTAATGATTTTGAAAATATTTCTACAGCATGACATGTTAAAGAATTAATATTTTAATCAATTTCAATACTAAAAACTCATTTATTTTACAAACATATTAAATTTAAATAATACACAAAGTACATACTAAATTAATTTTTAATTTAAATAATTCATAATCTTATAATTTAATAAAAATAAATTAACAAAACCTAGGCTGTGGTTAGTATACATAACAAAATATTAAATAATGGGCCTAACTCTGTCTATTATAATGCCAAATAAATTACATCATTCCGAAAACTGTTCGTGTGGGTTGCCATCACAAACTCAAACTGCAACAAAAGTGGTAAAGAGAGTAAAAAGTACGTGAAATGAAAATTTACACTAAACAAAAAATATATTAAATATAACCATGTAAATTGTAAAATCGTGGGGAAAACAAGTATAATCTACTCAATTTCGTACCTTACCCTATATTTGTAAAGCATAAAACGTTGTAAATATACTAAATCAAAATACTGCCACTTTGTATAGGAACAAATGAATATTTTATTTCAGACACCTGAAATCTTACTTTCAATAATAGGTCATATGTTTTACGGATTAAATTTTTTTTACTCTATTGAGAAGTTTAAAAAATCAATAATACAATAGCTTATGACAACATTGAAATCCAATTAAAAAAAAATATTTGAGTTGTTCATACAGCTTTAGAGTGAGATATTGTTTATTTGTTGTTTTGAGTAATGTGTATTAAATGTTGGTCAAACCCGATAAAAATTCCCTCAAAGTTGTATCCCAATATAAGTTTGTGTATTCTTTTATACTGTAATATACTTACTGTTTTTTGGACATTTAGAAGTTTTAAGAATTTGTAAGTGAAAAAGGATTCACAATCTTAATTCATATTTTTAAATGAATATTTCTAGTCATATGAATATTTCTATTCACCAATAAAGAAAATTAATTTAATTTGGAGACTTTACATTTTCCTCCATCATTTGGAAAAAAACCTACGAGGTGCTGATTTTAAATATTAGATTTTTCAATAAGTGATGGTTGTGGTTTTTATATGTTGGTTCGAAAGGGAACAAATGGTTAATATACAGTTTCTACTATTATCGTTATATGATCATACTGATACATAGTCATCCATGTAATTTTTAAGAGTTGATTTTTTCTTTAAAAAGTTGTTTTATGTATAACCAACAAAATCGTTGTAATTTATGTATAAATTAAAATAAGCCAAAGCACCTACTATTTGTAAAAAAATAAAGTTGATTCAATCACTTAAGCATTACCGTTGAGAACATTTTAGGTTTAAAACAATAATTTTCAAAACAGGATTTACATTCTCTAGAGAAATCGAAGTTTAATTAAATAAAAGAATCCGTTTGAAGAGGATATCTCTCGTACGTCAGTTCACATTCACAATTGCTTGTCATGTCAATACGTATTACCTTAATACAAAATCGTTTTGACAAATACAGAACCTCTTACGTAAATTGAATGTCAATTTCCTTCTTTTTTAAATCAGAAAGACCTCATTGATGGATTTAATTATTTACCTCTCGGTGCATCTGACTCATGAATAAAGAAACAATTTAAAACATTTAGTTATTAAAGAGTAACGTCTTATTGACGTCTAGCATATTTTTTAATGGGCAGTTTTTTATATTTAAGTAATAAATACGATTTACGTTTCAAACTCGTATTAGATTTCTTCCAGTTTTTCTTTACTTTTCGATTTTAAAATATGAATTAAGGGTTTCCTCGATCTCTATGTTAATTA